TCCAGGCCAGCTGTAAGTGCCTGAATTGCCCAAGCTCTGAAGTATATACTTTTTGGAGCTCCTCCTAGCTACCATTTTTGCAGCCCGCTAAGAGCGATGCTTGTTTTAATCCCCTCAAAGGCGCTTGTAAGTTAAGTGATCTTTCCCCATTTTCAGAAGAGGAAACTGAGGCTCAGGAGAGTCAGGTTACAAGATCTCATCAGAACAAGTCTCATGATTAGGAAATACTGGAGCTGGGATTCAAACTGGACTCAGAGCCTGTGCTCTTGACCGAACAGGAAGGCAGAAACCATGGTGGTGGGCAGCTTGCTTACGGGTATCCAGAAGGCAGAGCCATCTCTTGGGGGTCGTAAAATGGGACATTTACCTACATCTCCCTCTGGAGAGTGTTGCTGGAGCTTGGGCAGAGTTGGGGAGTCTGCTATGGAGGGAGAAATATCTCCATCCAGCCAATACTTAAAAAAGATCAGCAATGTGTTGAGGATAGAGGTGGGGGGGTCAAGTGGTATGGTGTTCCTGGAAACTTTGCCCCACAACTCAGGACCTCAAGTCAAGGGCCTTTGGGGGATGAGTGACCAAGCTCATCTCAACCAACTTTAACAAAAAAAGGGAAATTATTGGCTCATGCAATTAAAATATCCAGGATAGGTCTGCCTTCAGGTTTGGCTGGATCTAGGGTTTTAAAGGTTGAAGCTCTGGGATCATTTTCTTTTGGCCCTCTTCCTCTGTGTTGGCTTGATTCTTAGGCATCCCTCTTGTGGTGGCATAGATGGCTGCCGGGAGCTCTAGACTTTCTTCCTCCCAGTTCAGCATCTCCAAGGGGAGAAGCACTTCTCATTTCCAATGGCTTTATTCTCAGCTAAAGTCCTGGGGTGGCTGCTTATTTGCCTGGCTCATCTCACCTGCTCATCCCTGAACCAATCAGGCAGTAGGGAAAGGACTGCTCTGGGTCCGTGCCAGGGGCACATCCCTGGAGTTAGGGGAGGGGTCAGTCCTTCTTGAACCATTTAGACCAAGAATGGGGAAGGGATGGATGGTTCCCCCAAAGGAAATGCAAGGTGCTGGTATCAAAAGCAGCAGGAATGGGAGCTGGGCAGGTCCCAAGACAACAGACGCCGTCCTCATGGGAAGTAGAGGGGCCGCTATCCAGCTATCTGGCTTTGCCACCAACTTGCTGTGTGACCCTTTCTCCTTCCTGAGCCCCAATTTCCCCATCTGCATAGTGATTATCTTCACGGATTCATGCAGCTCCGAACTTCTGAGGCCCATAGGCTTCATTTAGCCAACGGCCCTGCATCCCAGCTTAACAGGTGCAAGCTGTGACTTAGGAATGCATGGCCTTCACAAACCCTGAGACTGAACTTGGGACAGGACACCCAGCCTCCTGTTCCTGCCCGTCCTGGCAGGGTACAGCCTGTGATGGTGGGAGGGAAGGGCTCCAAGGAGGTTTCTTTTCACATCTCCAGTGTTCTCCATCTATAATTGGCTCCGAATGAAATGATCTCATCCCTGAACACCGAGGAAGAAGGGTGGTGGTTTGGCGGGGGGGGGGTGGGAACAGTTCGCTGGCAGCATCTGACATAATTTGTGACTAACCCGTTTCCCTCCGGAAAGAGAGATGGTCCGCTCGCTTGAAGAAGCAGTAAAAGTTTGAGAAAAATGTCTTGGTGATCCATTGAGGAGCATCCAGCTTTTGGGGGGCTTTTGAGAGGCCCAAGGCATTTCTCCACTCCGTCTAAACCACGTATCTTCTGACCTTTGCTCACAAGTCCACCTGACCACCTGTCATGTCAGCCACTGGCCGGGGAGGAGGTGAGCATGGCCACTCCATCAAGCGATCTCTCTTGTATGGATTCTTGATGGGGTTTTGTGGCCAGCTGAAACTCGTTTACATGCCCATACATTAATTTTGAAAGATGGGCTCCTAATCAACTCTGAAAAAGCTTGTCACAGCACCATCTGTTTGGCGTTTGTCACTATTGCATTACATAAGAGGAAAGACATTTTTAAAGAATGCGGCTGCATTTAGTAATTGGATCGCCGGAGAGGAGCCAAGCCGGGGCGGATGGCACCGTGATTCAGAAATGCCACAGGCCCTTCTCCAGGGCGGGGCGGCCTCCCCAGATTCCACTGGGTGTCATCAGAGCCCCGAGTGCAGCCCAGCTCAGGGGACACGCCCGAGATGGCTTCCTTTCTTCTTGTCTTTCTGTTCCTCTCCTGTTCTTCCCTTCCTCCCGTTTGTTCTCACTCACCTGCCATCTCAGATGAGTTCCACCACATATTAGCAGTAACGAAATGACTTCACTTCCCTGAGCCCCGATTTCCTCATCTGGAAAATGGGGATGATGAAAGAGTGCGGCTGTGCAGTTTAAGTGCATTAATATGTCCCAGTTCACACCTTGGGCCTACCCCCTTAGAGTCATAAACATCATTTTGAGGGAAGGGTCTTCTGTTCGTTCAATAGGCCAAAGCACCCCTGCCTGAGGGCTTTTGCACATGCTGCTCTTTCTTTCTGGAATACTCTTTTCCTGTATCTTTGCATGGTTGTCTTCTTATTCTGGCCCAACTCCGATGTCACCTCCTCAGAGAGGCCTTCTCCAACCACCATAGGTATTCCCTGCCCTGGTTCCCTCCAGTCATACACATTCATCTCTATTATTTTCTTCTCAGAACTTGTCACCTGTCTCCCTGAGGACCTGGTCTGTCTTGGTCGCTGCTGTATCCCCAGCACCTAGACCATTGCTTGGTCCATAATTATTTGTTGAATGAATGACCAAACTCGTTAACTCTTCATGACCATCCTTT